GATCGTTTAGCAGATTCAATGAAAGAGAAAGAAAAAGAAAACTCAAGCCATCAACTACAATCCTCAACAGCAAAAGCTAATTCTGGTGCGAAAGCATTACCAAATAACATTGTTCAAAATGCAAAGAGCATCCATCGAAAATATCAGCTGCTGCAACAATAATAAAAAGTAAAAAATTAGATCTACCAATCGATCCATCGATAACATTTGATCAAGATAAAGGTACAGCGAATGAATTAGAGCAACAATTACATAAATTATTGGCTGAAAATGAAAGATTAACAAAAGCTGTTGATTTTTATGAAAAAAATGCTATTGGTATGTAACTACACTGAAAATAATAAACAGTTTATAAGAAAAAATGTAAATTTTGAAGAAGTTCATATACTACATAGCTGAGAATTTTACAGAATGTCTAAGATCAAATTTTCAATTTTTCTTCTTTTAAGTTCTTCCACGAGCCGACAGTACACGTACCGCATTTTGTTTTGTAAATGATATTGTTAAAAAAATGTCAATACCAAAAGACAATGAAAACGATCGGCGAAAAGAAATTCTTGAAGCATCGTGTTCAAAACTAGATATACCTTATGATGGAGTTATTAAAGTATTTAAAAGTCAGAAAATAATGGCCACCAAAGCTCGAGAATTGTTCCAATTGGTGTTTGCAGACTATATTGACGCTCCATATGATTGGAAAATCTGGATAGAGGAAGACGAAAATCAACAAAGGTTGGATATACTAGAAAGTACGAACCAGTTAGTCTTATATTTAGTGGCAGATGGTAGCGTCTAGAAATGCTCCCTTTATGGACGGCTACTTCTTATGTTCAATTTAACGTCTTACTTGTTTTGGTCTTTCAGAAATGGGTGAAGACTATTTTGGTCCGCATGACTGGGACAAAAAGAAAATGCACGATAGTATTACATCATTCGCAAGAGAGGAAAAACGAAAATTTGAAAAGGAAGAACAAGAAAAGCTTCTGAAAGAACACGAAGAAGCATTGTTAAATGCAGGAAACCAACAGTAAAATCAACAGCATGGTTCTGAACCAGCTGCCACTTGAATAACTTAACAATTAAATTGTCCAAATTGAAATTGTGAAACTTCTAATAGTCATAAGTGAAAATAACTCATTTTTGTTTTTACTTTTGTTCATTATCTTGTGTTTTTTTGCTATCTCTTATTGCCATATCATTTTTATGTGTATATCTAGTGAAAATAAATATATACTATATTTTTGGTGCATCCACTTGATGCTGTGATACGAATTACCCTTTCTTTTTAAGTTTATGTTTGCTGTTAGTTCTACATACAGTTTAAAGAACACGTGTTTAAAATATTTAATTATCTCGCATTATTCAGATATGAAAACTAATCTGAAACGAATCAATCGTCCAAGAAAGACAAGATATGAAATTAATAGAAAAAGTTATTTACTTCACTATAAGGAGAGACTTGTAAGGCAGAGAAATTCTGTGATGTAAGTACCGCGCGTGGTTCTTTTGTCTCTCACATTATATGGAATACCTCTCTTTTCTTTGGTTTAGGGGAAAATCTGAGCTAGATACAAATGAAAGCGATCAACAATCACTTAACAATACTATGATTGCCCCAAATAACAATCGCGATGATATACTATCTGAAAATTCGTCTACTAATGATAACGAAGGGCAAGATGGGCAATTAAATATTATCGAATCGGATGACGAGGGTGAATTTGTATCTGCTAATTGTGATCATACTAATGTGGGCGAAGAGTAAGAATCTATTTTGTTTCGCTTTTGTCCCCTTCTGTTACCATAGCTTTTTGTTCGCTATCGAACAATTTCACACGTGAAAATGGATATCCATGCGATCGAATCTGTCTTAGTGATGATATTCTATTCTGGGAAGAAACATTCAGTTTCTTCTATACTACTCCTTGGTCTTTTTTTTCTAATAGTTATGATGATGACGATTTTTTAATTGAACTCGGTACAAATCAAAGAGAATATGATGAAACTGACATTTGTGTTTTATTATATTCATTTAAAACAAAATATAAATTATCATTAAATGGCTTAAAATCATTAATAAGAGTATTACTGACTTTAAAAGTACCGCATACACCACAATCTGTATATAAACTTACACAAACAATCAGAAAAAGTGAAGATGTACGTCGACGTGGATTGGCAAATCCAACACCAAAAGAATTATTAACTAAAATATCGATATGTCCAATGTGTGATCAAATAACAACATCATTAACTGTATGTACTAATGGATGTCAATATCAAGAACAAATATTAATTAAACCGCATGTATTTATGCCCTTTGATATTAAGGAACAAATAAGTAAAATTTTGCTTCGTGAAAAACAAGTTATGTTTAATACACAAGAACTACCATCATCAACCGGAACAAAAGAAATATTGATGACAGATATTCAACATGGTAGCCGTTATCGACAATTTATTGAAAAAATTGATCCAAAACAATGCTTTTTAACATTGATATTGAATGTCGATGGTATAGCTGTTCATACAAATAGTGAACAATCAATGTGGGTTGTAACTTTAGCCATTAACGAAATCAAACGGACAGAAAGATTTAAAATTCATAATGTTATCGTTGCCGGTGCATCAGTTGGCTATTGTAAACCATCAAGAAAAGTAATGTCATTAATGCTAAGACCAATA